TTTTTTTTTTTAACGTCTTTATTGGAGTATAATTGCTTTACAATGGTGTGCTAGTTTCTGCTTTATAACAAAGTGAATCAGCTATACATATACATATGGCAGGTGGATTCTTAACCACTGCGCCACCAGGGAAGTCCCAGATAGTCACTAGCTTCTTAATAAATAGTATTCTTCAGTGAATCTCATTTTAATCAAATAGCGTGCGTGGGGGGTGGAGGGTGGGAGGCATTCTGTAAGTGGAGATAAAGAATAAATGCACATTTTGAATATACCCCTCTGCTTCTCATATTAATACATGTTCTGGTAATGATACTTCTGATAATGAAATGTCAGACCACTTAAATAGTAGAGATGTTTACCTCATTTCATTAATAATCATAACTTTTAAAATTATTATTGATATATAGTTGAAATACAACATCACATTAGTTTCAGGTATACCATATAGTGAGTTGACATTTGCATACATTATGAAATGGTCACCACAATAAGTCTAGTAACCATCTGTTCCCATACAGAGTTATTACAATATTATTGATCATATTCCTTATGCTGTATATTACATCTCCATGGCTTATTTATTTTATAACTAGAGGTTTGTACTTCTTAATCGCCTTTGCTTATTTCTCCCCCTACCCCCACCCCGCTGGCAACTACTGGTTTGTTCTCTATATCTGAGTCTGTTTTCATTTTGTTTTATTTTTTAGATTCTACAAATAAGTGAGATCATATGGTATTTGTCTTTCTCTCACTTCACTTAACATGATATCCTCTAGGTCCATCCACATTGTTTCAAATGTCAAGATTTCGATTCTTTTTATGGCTAAGTAATATTCCATTGTATATGTGTACCACATCTTCTTTGTCCATTCATCCATCAATGGATACTTCAGTTGCTACCGTATCTTGACTACTGTAAATAATGATGAGGTGAATTGCTGTGTACATACCTTTTCAAATTAGCAACTTTGTTTTCTTGGGGTAAATTGCCAGAAGTGAAATTGCTGAATCATATGGTAGTTGTATTTTTAATTTTTTGAGGATCCTCCGTACTGTTTTCCATAGTGGCTATATAAATGTAACTAATTTTATTGTGCTCTGTGTCCTAGGCAGTTTAACAGATATTTTATTTGTATTATCTTGGTTTATCTTCACAACACAGTGTGAGGGAGGCATTCAACACTTAACAGAGAAAAAAGTGAGGTTTAGAGAAGTGAAATAATCAGGTCTGGATGGCTTTAAAACAGGCATTGGCAAACTACTGCCTACAGACAAATCTGCCTCCTGGCCTGTTTTGTAAATGAAGTTTTATTGGAACAGAGTCACACTCATTCTTTTTGCAATACAGTGGCAGAGTTGAGTAGTTGCAGCAGAGAGTCTTTGGCTCACAAAGGCCAGATGTTTATACAGTTGGCCCTTGGTATCTGTGGGTTCTGCATCTGCAAATACAGAGGGCCAACTCTACCATGACACTTTATGTAAGAGACTTGAGCATCTATGAATTTTGGTATCCTGGAGGTGGTGTGGTCCTGGAACCAATCTCCTGTGAGGTACAACTGTACTCCATTTTGAGTCTCTTATGTTTTACCCATTTTGTGTGTGCAAAACACTCATAGATGAACATATATATACACACATATACCTGTTGTGGTAGTCTTAACCCTTGGGTTAAGCAGAAGTTGGGTTAATCATGCACTTGTGATCTGTTATTCTGCTTATTAATGTTTCAGTGCCTTGTAGTTTAAGGCATTTAAACAAAAACTTTTAGCTGAACTTAGTGTAGCATTATTAGAAAGATAATAAAACAAATTTTAATGTCTTAGAATTGAAATGCAATAGAAAGTGCAAGTGTTTTTGGCTTAGAAACAAACATTTTTCCTATGAAACTATTTTCAGTAAAAAGTTATTTTTTTTAACCTTCTTTTGGATAATTGAGACTTTAGAATAGTCTATTGTTGTTTTGGTTGATTATTTGGAATATCCTAGAGTTTATTTTTAGCTACAAAACATTTTTTTTTTAAAGCCATTTTAGAAAGATATTGTCTTTATCCAGTTCTTAAACAGTGGATGTGAAGAAGATGACTGTTTAGTTACTGACCTGTGCTGTAATACAGTGATAGTTGCTGGGCACACTGAAGTTTTGTACTTCCAGACTAGTCTTCTAATTTTTGTTTTAATAGATTTTTGTCTCCTGTCAGTGCTCTCTGCTACCATTGTGCATTCTGGTGGCAATTTTTTTACCCAGCTCTTTTTCTGGTCCTAATCTTTTATGAAGTACAACTAAAAATGCTGAGCTTATTAAAATCATGTGCAGTAAAAGGTATAAACAGGCTCTTAGAATCTGAGATGCTCTCTTATGAGTAATGTGTTTTAATATATTAATTTCTGATATTGTTGCAATTCCGTTCCACTCCTACTTTCTGGCTTTTGCTTATTACTAGGTAACATTACGAAGATTATTTGCTAAATGATATTGTAATAGTTCATACTGTTTTCTTTTTTAGCATATCTTTTGTCATTTACAATTAATCAGGGGTTTTTAATACAGAGGTTCATCAATAGCGTTTAAGGGGCCATTTGAAACACCAAAATTACATACAAAAGTGTTGTGGAGAGAGGATCTACAAATGGTTAAGAACAATTTATTCATTCAGTAAATATTTATTGACATCTATTTTGTACCAGGCACTGAGTCTGTGCTGGGGATATAGCAACGAATAAAACAAGGAAAATACAGTTGGCCCTCTGCATCTGTGGGTTTTGCATCCATGGATTTGACCAACTGTGGATTGAAAATGTTAGGGGGGTACATTCCAGAAAGTTCCAAAAGGAAAAACTTGAATTTGCTGGGTACTGGCATAGCATTTACATTGTATTAGATATTGTAAGTAATCTAGAGATGAAACAAATCATATGCAAATACGACACCAGTTTATATAAAGGATGTGAGCATTCATGGATTTTGGTGTCCACATTGTGGGTGTGGGGGTGTGTGTGTCTGGAACCAGTCCCCCTCAGGTACCAAGGGATAACCATACCGCTGAAATGAGACAAGGCAAAATTGTATTTCTCTAACTCTTTTTGGTTATTTATACTCTTTTTTTCTTTGCAGGAAAAACAAGAATGGTGGTGGCTTTATATCGCAGATAGGAAGGAACAGACATTAATATCTATGCCATATCATGTGTGCACACTAAAAGATATGGAAGAGGTAATTATCCAACATTATTTAAATAGAGAAAACAGTGTAGAAATCAGTTTATCGTATTTGGCTTATTACATTTTATTTAAGACACATTTTATAAGTCTTCTCTGATGTATTTTGGAGGGAACTCATTGGAAATTTATAATATAAAGTACTGAACTACAACTTGGTAGTCTTCTAAAACCTCAACTTCTAAAATCTCAACTTATTTTGGGGAGTTTTCACTGTTACTATCTAAGAACACATGCCTTACCTTATCTCCAGAATTTAATTATGTTTTACAAAAATTTATTATTTTTATCCTCTTTGGATTAGTGCTCAGATATATACCTTTTGTCTTAAAAAACAAATATAAGAACTGGTGATTCGTTTTTTAGAGTGGAATTTTTTGTTACATTGCTTTGTCTGCTGTCAGTGACATCACTAATATAGCTTTGTGATGAACATATTTTGCCCTTGGATTTTCTTGTTTTTCTTCTTGATTTTTTATGTTATTTTTCTAGGAAGAAGCTTCTGTCTACCTGGACTTGGTGGACAAGAGCAAGGCTTTGAATTTCAAGATCTATGATGATGATTTTTAATCCAAAAAGTTGTTTCCCACCTTTCTAACCAAGTAGTACGTGTATGAAGTAGTTTCTTGTTTATTTGACACTTAGAGTTGGTACCAACTTAAGGGTATTTTTGAGAGTAATTTTAACATTTTGTGTGTGTGTGTGTGTGCGGTACGTGGGCCTCTCACTGTTGCGGCCTCTCCCGCTGCGGAGCACAGGCTCCGGACACACAGGCTCAGCGGCCATGGCTCACGGGCCCAGCTGCTCCGTGGCATGTGGGATCTTCCCGGACCAGGGCTCGAACCCGTGTCCCCTGCATCGGCAGGCGGACTCCCAACCACTGCGCCACCAGGGAAGTCCCAGCCATTGGTATTTTTGAAGAGTCCAGGCAAGGTATTTTATAGAATATCCCTTAATCTGAATTTGTCTTATTGGTTACTCACGCTTATATTCTTCTCAAATATTTTTGGCAAAAATACTGCGTAGGTGATGTAATAACCTTCTTAGTGCATCACATCAGGGGCACATTATATTAGTTTGCCTGATATTGTTGATATATTATGGTTGATCATTTAGTTAAGTCTTTTCTCTGTTGTAAAAAGTATGTCTTCCTCCAAGCTGTGGGGTGATACTTGGACACTATGTGAATACCCTGTTCTCCAACAGTCTTTAACCCACTCATTTTAGCATATGTTGATGATTCTTGCCTGAATCAATTTTTACTATGCTGGCTGTATTCAGTGTAGTTTAATTTTATATTTCTCTTAAGAGGGAAACTGTACATCTTTCATTGTGTTTGAATCATATTTCTTTGTGTGTCTGTTTGTGACCATTGTTCATTTTTGTTGGGTTATTGGTCTTTTAAATTGGTTTTGGGACTTTATTTTTGTTTAAGTATTATGAAATCAGCCCTTTGTGATGTGTGTTGCAGATATTTCTCCCCAGTTTGTTTTACTATTGTGGCTGTTTTTATCAAGCAAAAATAGAAATATTTACTCATTTATTTATCCATTGGTTTATTTGGGTGTTTGATGGTATGATTTAGTAGTCTTTTTCTTTTATGATTTGTAGGTTTGATGTTACAGTTAGAGGGGCCAAACTTTGAGATTAATTAAAAAAAAAATTCTCCCATGATGTTTTCTAGCTTGTTTGTTTCTTTAATAAATTTATTTATTTATTTTTGGCTGTGTTGGGTCTTCGTTGCTGGGCGCGGGCTTTCTCTAGTTGCGGTGAACGGGGTTTACTCTCCGTTGCAGTGCACGGGCTTCTCATTGCAGTGGCTTCTCTTGTTGCAGAGCATGGGCTCTAGGCACACGGGCTTCAGTAGTTGTGGCACACGGGCTCAGTAGTTGTGGCTCGCGGGCTCTAGAACGCAGGCTCAGTAGTTCTGGCGCACAGGTTTAGTTGCTCTGCGGCATGTAGGATCTTCCCGGACCAGGGTTCGAACCCGTGTCCCCTGCATTGGCAGGCGGATTCTTAACCACTGCGCCACCAAGGAAGCCCTAGCTTGTTTGTTTTAATGGCAAATTTTAATATATAATCTTGCCAACAAAATCTGGATTTTGGAAAGTGGAGGCAGATTACCGGAACATCTAAATGTCATCATAAAAATGTATTCTTCCTTTGTCCAAGTGGAGTAGAAACTTCTAAGAGTTCGTAAATTTTTGTATTTGAAGTTCATTAGTATATGATAGGAAATAACGTATCTTTTTGACCTTGTAAGGCATTGGACATCTGTAAAGAAAAAAATGTATTTCTCCCATGTGTTTCTCCTTTACTCTAACACTACTGCCACACTCTCAACACTTCTGATACCAGTTTGTGGGCTTTTCCCCACACCAAGCAATTTGCTGTGACACCAGCTGAGTGTCCTGTGGTTTGACTCAGTGCTGACACTGTCTACCTGGATATCTACCTCAGGTTAAGGGTTCAGTCCCACAAGACTGCTGTTTCCCCGCTCTCCATCTTTAGATGCTAGTCACAAGTCCCAGGTTGTCACCTATACTTCTGACCAACTGGCTGTAAATCGTGGTTCCCATGATCCCCCTCCTTGGGTTCAGTAATTTGCTAGAATGGCTCACAGAATTCAGGGAAACATATTTACCAGTTTATTATGAAAATAATATGATAAAGGATATAGATGAATATCCAGATGGAAGAAATACCTAGGGCAGGGTATGTGGGAAGGGGCATGGAGCTTCCATGCTCTTTCTGAGCAATCCACTCTCCCAGCACTTGCACATGTTCACCAACTCGGAAGCTCCCTGAACCCCTACTTTGGGGATTTTTATGGAGGCTTTATCACAAAGGCGTAATTGATCATTAACTCAGTTTCCAGCCCTTCTCTGGAGACTGGGGGCGTGGGACTAAAAGTTCTAAGCCTCTCATCATGGTTTGGGCTTTCTGGTGACCAGTCCTCATCTAGGAGCCCACCAAGAGCCACCTCATTAGAAGAGAACTCATTCTTATCCAGGAAATTCCAAGGGATTTATAAGCTCAGTGTCAGGAACCAGAGTCAAAGACCAAATATTAGAACAAAAGATGCTCCTTGGGCTCTTATCACTTAGGAAATTACAGGGGTTTGAGGAGCTCTTTACCTGGAACTGAGGGCAGAGACCAATGTATATATTTTCTATTATCTCACAGAAATAAGAAAATTTGGCAAGAACTATTTCCTTTCTGGTGAAGTCTATTTTAGTCCATTTCATTTATTTTACTTTTATACCCAACTTCATTTCTTCAGGTTGTCAAGATGTGATGGTCAACATAGAACTTGGTCGCTTTAAATATGCTTTCTTGAATTGTGGAGATAGAAATTAACCCCATCAATTCTGCCTCTTTTTGTTTTCTTTTTGTATAGTATATATATGACATAAACATCATATATGTATGTATTTGTTGTTGTTAGAACTTTTGTAACATTTATTAGGACCTCCTGTGTCATCTGAGTAAACCCTAGCTATTAAATACTCTGGTCTAAATATTTTAGGAGTGAGCTGTTGTTTCTTCCACTCCTCAAAATACAGATTTTAAGTGCTGGTTTTATATTCTAGGTAGAACTGAAGTTTCCTGCACCAGGAAAGCCTGGAAATTATCAATATACAGTGTTTCTAAGATCAGACTCCTATATGGGTTTGGATCAGATTAAACCATTGAAGGTAAGAATAATGACTATGCATTGCATATGGTTGTCTATTTGAATAAGTGCTTAATATACTGGGGAAGCTTTTCTAGTTTTGAAATGTAGAATTATAGAAAAAGAGGTCATCTCATACTTTTAGGTAATATACTTGATGGACTACTCTTTCAATAATAAACTTAAGTTGTATTAACAGAGTGTAATGATTTAGAACCTTGAGTATAACTTACGTGGTATATTTTAATGTGCTGTAATATGCTGTAACTTTACAGGGCCTCACCAGATGGGTTCTGCTTTCTTTAAAAAGCACATGTGTTTTCCCACAGATTCCATTGTAGTGTTTATTGATTTCCAAAACTAATTTGTTTTTGATCATTTTAGAGTATACATTTGTGTATCATTTGAAGCACACTCCCATCAGTGTTTACCGTTTCACTTGAGCTTTTTATAAGAGGCATGCTACTGTGTTAGACAGATTGTGCTGAAGAAGTATTGTTGCACTGTATACTGGAGACCTAAGAGAGGGGAGCCAGCAAAGACATACCTTTTTTTCCCCCACGAGAATACTGTATTTCTTTCCATTGGCTGTAGAACGTTACTTCATGAGTCTGGAGGCTGCAGATACCTCTTTGGAAGTCACACTTGAGTTTTTCTTCATCAGCAGAAGACTTATTAAGACATTACTTAGTGTGCTCGCTCAAGAATCACAATTATTCACCTTTCATGCCACAGAATAAATAGTATAAGCTCCTAAAATCAAAGTATCAAACTACATTAGAAATTTAACTATACTTACGTGTTAGTAGATTCACCTTTTTATTTCTGGGATGAATATCTGTTCTAAGTATGTTAAATTTAGAGTTAAAAGCATAAAATCTATTTCTTTATAATTGCTGCAGTCAAAGAAACCTTTTCTTTACCAGGTATTTCTCCCATTATTCTTCCCCAAGTTTCTGAGGTCTACATTTAATTCTTTTTTATAGTTGGAAGTTCATGAGGCTAAGCCTGTGCCAGAAAATCACCCACAGTGGGATACAGCAGTAGAGGGGGATGAAGACCAGGAGGACAGCGAGGGCTTTGAAGATAGCTTTGAGGAAGAGGAAGAAGAGGAGGAAGATGATGACTAAGCAGTGCTATGAATGGACCACAGTATTTGCACATATTTCAAATGTTTGCTGTTTTGGAAGTGTGTAATAAACCAGAAACAGTGCAGAACTGATGTTGAAGGAGGTGTTAGTTCTTTGCTAGAAATGGGTGCATAATATAACTAGGCAGTGGTGGTGCCTTGGTACAGTCTGAAAAATGCTTAAGGCTTGTGAAAGCCTTTCAAGTATGGGATGGTGCATTTATTTCATCTGCAAATGATAATAAACCCTTTGTTATAACTGTCCAGAAGTGTGGGCTATGTATTATCTGATCATTTATGGTCCCAGTGAAAGTAAAGGTACATGAAAAACCGTCTATAAATGAGCGACTTTACTTTGTTTAGCTTTAGTTTTAACAAACGTTAAAGTACGATAAACACCACAAATGTTTTAAGTAACATCTGCTCAAGTTTTAATCTCTTGGTAAGCTCTATTCACTTATTGACATTTTGCAGTGATACCAGAGTATTTATAACAGCTCCATTCATAGCTTTAAACATTTTATTTTTGCCTATCTTGGTCGTAAGTTGGCATTCTGTCACATTCCACATAATATAGAGGGCTACATTTTGGGATTTTCCTTCTTTTAATTGCCCAGAGTTATCAGATTATAAAAATGGCTTTTAATGGCTTAAAACATTTTTAAGCCTCTATTTTAGTAGATCAATACAGGATCTAATTCTTTTTATAAGCTATAGGTCTAAAAATGATTGTGGGACCATATGTTCTCTGATATTGGTGACTTATGTTATTAAACCTTTTTTAAAAGGTTCATTATAAAAGCTGAAATACATTCTTAGCTTTTAATCTACCTGACTCTATCAGAAGCCTTTTAAGGAAAAAATATAACATGCAAACGAGGCATTTTTTTGTATTCATTTTGGACTCCTGTCAATAAAATAGAAGTTTGACTCATTTTACGTTTGTAATGGTGTGTCTTTTTACTCCCAGAAAGGGATATGATAGGATAACTCATTCTTTTATTTTTCAACTAAAGATTTAATAATAATGTACATGACTGCTGAAGTGATTGCTATTTCTGTATACTATAGAAAACCCCCATGATTGGGAGGAATTTTCCCCTCACACTCTCACACAGCACAACCTGGAAGGGAGTGCGTATAAAGAGCAGAAATGTGTACATGCTGAGTTATTGAGGTATGTCTCTATTATAGGACTGATTGTAATAATCCTCTCCTATCAAAATCTCCACAGACCAAAGTACTCTTGGAATACTAATTTGTGACCTTCTTTACTTAGAAGGTTGTCACTTTCCGTGCAGAATTACCACTGGTATTTTGTTACTGCAGTAGTTGGAAATAAAATTTGAAACTTAACCAAAAACATGAATGGGGGGTTTTGGGGTTCTAAATTTAGGATGTAGTATTTCCTATAATACGGTCAAAGCAATTTTTTCACTGGAACCTCCATCACCTATTTTTCTTTTAAAGGTGTTAGTGAGACCCTTCCTTGGGAAGCAGAAGCGCCACTGAGGATTTGTTTCATTTTATAAGTAGAGGGTGGGTTTAATTTTCGAGTCAGGTTTTGCTGGGAAGCTGCTGGCCACCTAAGTGAGGTGGAAGGGAGTGAGCCAGCCTGTAGCATCCAGTGAAAGGAGAGGTTAGAGAAAACGCAGGTGGCGTGAAGGCAAGGAAAGTGAGCAAATGAAACAATGTGTAGTATGCGCACTCCTGGTTTTCTTGAAAGATACTTTTCAAGAAAAGTATTTCTATTCTAGTGGCTCTTTTGTCTTAAAGAGGCTTTGTAAGTTATTCAAACTGGCTTCTTTCTGATTTTAAGGCTAGAGGATGGTTTTACAACCCAGTAACTCACCACAGTGCTTAAAAAAACAGCATCACCTCATTAGGAAACCCTACTAGCCTGTTTTCCTTTGCCATTTGTGTGATATATGTGTACTTCCTAATCAAATAATATATTTTCTTCTAATGAGCTCTTTCCATATTGCAATAGTGAAAGAACTGAGCCTTCATTTTATACTTCTCATCTTTCCAGCAAGTCTCTGAATTCTACATCCCTTCTTTCTTTCTCTATTATTGAGATTTAATAACTAATTTACCCTGGTTTGCATTTAATCAAATGGAAACTTTCACTGAGTGCAGTTTCAGTTTTGTTCCCATCAAGAAACACTGACGTTTTTTCAACAGAATAGATGAATATATAGACCAAAACATTCAGTGTGCATATACAAAGTGAAACTGGTTATTTATGAAATTAAGCTACTTGTATAATATTTTTCTCTTTAAATTGGTGAAGTACCTATTAAAACAAAAGGTACTCGTCCAGAGGAGACCACAATCGAAAGTCTTTCAGTTGTAAATTTTTGTGTTATGAAACTTGATTTAGGCCCCACGTGCATATCTCAATCTCGAAGTCAGGAGTTCATGTCCTTTAAAATTAAAAAAGAAAATTTTTGTGAATATTTTTTAAAAATTGAGTACATTGAATAAGGTTTTCTGTGTAGAACATTACTGTATTTCTCCCAGCTTGCACTGAGGGGTGCAGAAGGATGATCAGCCTGTCTGGCTGCATAGCTCCACTGCGAGGTGGAAGCTCAGGCCCTGGGTGGAAACAGAGCGGGTGGACACCAATGGACTGATGTGGAAAAAGGGAGCAAGGGTGTTGAGGAATGTAATGAGGTTCTCTGAGCAGATAATTCTCGACCATAACATTTATCCAGTTATTCACTTCAGCCAATCAAAACCAGATACTGGAGTGGTCTTTAGCAACAATTGTTATTTCAAATGCAATTCAGCAAGCACTTCGCATATTTTTTGAGGAGTTGTTCATCATCACATATTTACTGAGTTTCAGTGTGGCTGGGTCTGTGATTGGACACTGGGGCTGTAAAAATCAAAGAATTTGTGTTCTTAATGACTCAGGTATTAGGGCAGGCAGATGTGTGGCAGTCTGTTTTAATCCATTTGCATTGGCTAATGACCATTGTTTGGAATGCCTTTTTTAGTTTGTCTTTCCACTGTAGGCAGAGGAGTTTTTTAAGGTGCTAGCTACTTGTTGGCTTAAAAAAAGAAAAAGGCAAACCTTCATCCTTTATTATTAAGTGTTTCTTTAAAGCATTTTCCTCCCCAAATATTCTTATTCAACTTTATGAAATCTCCTATTTAATTTGCCTTATGGTAACTGAAACAGCTATCAGTGAACCATAATGTGACATTTTACCTATGAGCTGTGCAGTGATTAGCCCAAATATGTCTTAAAAAGTTAGCATCAAGCATCTTCCCACATTTAAACTTGATGCTAGAGCTATTTTGCAAAACTAAAAAAAAAGCTGTGATCTTGTACATTTTTCTGTAACTTGAGCTAAAAATTCAAGTCTAGCAATCATTGGCCTGCTTTAGGGCTGTGGTTTCAGGTGGGGGCGTGTACATCCCAGGAATATGCAGGTAATCAGTCCACTGGGAAAATGTTAAAGCAGTTGTTTGTATTTAATCTCAGCCTTTTAAATTTCTATTTTTGTGTGTTTTATAATGTACATAATATATTGTACAATTGTACACTTCTATAATTTGTAAATAAATGATACATTTATTGGTGCATTATACATTCTTTTCTGATTTCAATGCATGATCAAAATATTTGGATATGCTGCTTTGAAGTGTTGATATACCACCATTTAAGCAAAAATGAAGGTTTGGACTTTTGGCATTCACCATTTGAGTTCACAAAACGATGCTACTCTGCTGGAGTTGAAGGGTTGGCATTCACTGTGTAGCAAAGTGATATTTTTTGAGGTGGGACTGAGTAGGTTTGGTGATGGGGTTAATAGATGAGGGGAGGGTTCTAAGCAGCTGTTGTCCATGGAAAGAAAGTGGGGCAGGTGAGGGCAGAAGTGCTAGGTGTGGCTTCCAGGAACTTCCAGCAAAGTCTACAGCTCTGTTAGTGGTCCCTGCAGTCAGGGGCTGCTACAAATTACAGGTGAGCATGAGAAGGACGGTCCACTCTTTTCGGCACTAGATGGTCCAGCATTAACCTGCAATGCTGGGTTACTGGACACCTGAAGTGTACACTTTAAAATCTGGATAATTATGAGCAGATTCCATAAAGAACTTTAAAACTATTTCCCTGTAGTTTCTAGCCTGGTTCCGGTAGAGGGCGATAGGGCTATAATTTCCTTTAGCAAAGAATGGTTTAGTTTGTGACACAAAGAACCAAAATTAAAGACATGGCTGTGTAATTTATTTCTATCTCCACCTTCTAGGCTTACCTCCTTCCCTTTAATGTTTTGTATTCCTGTCTAACCCTAGCCTGTATTACATGTGTCCTTTAATATATTAAATTTACTTCTCGGTTTTCTGGCTAGAAACATTAAGCCCCTTTGCAATAAACTCCCGAAGACAATCCACGTCTATTAATACAAATGTATTAGATTGCTTGAGAGAGGTGGGAAGTCAGGTAGGACAAAAAAAATCCTTTTATTCTACAAAATTAATTTTTGGATGGTAGGTGTCAAAAACTATTGAAGGGTCTGAGATTTTTACTCTGTGTGCAAGCTAACAAGTTAACCTGCCACAGTGCCATGGATGCTGGCAGAAGACAGGAGACTCCCAAGTCAGAGGCACTGGAGGCTGCGTGAGCTTCCTGTTCCCCATCTACTCCTCTGTCTCCCAAGTTCCATGGGGCTGATTGGAGTAGCTCAGGTGGCTGCTGCACATGCTGAGGAATTTCGAGCTCAGGAAACCTACTTTTTGAGTATGCAGGCATACTCCCTGGTGGCGCAGTGGTTGAGAGTCCGCCTGACGATGCAGGGGACACGGGTTCGTGCCCCGGTCCGGGAAGATCCCACATACCACGGAGCGGCTGGGGCCGTGAGCCATGGCCACTGAGCCTGTGGGTCCAGAGCCTATGCTCCGCAACGAGGGAGGCCACAACAGTGAGAGGCCCGCATACCGCAAAAAAAAAAAAAGAGTATGCAAGCAAAGCTGCCCAAGAGGGAGATACTTTTTCTTCCGAAGCTGTTTCCTATGCACACATAAAAAGATAGTCTGGGACAAAAGCAGTGTGCCCTGCTCACAAGGTTTGCAGAAACATGAGATATTCATAGAAAATTGTCTCTCAAAAGTTGGAATTCAAAATATATAGTAACTTCTATTTACAGAGAGGTATAGAGTACTTATTTTCAAAGAGAATGAGTTCTATTTAGTGACCGTTAGGACCATTGAGGCCATGTTCCTTGAGAATAATGTGCATTTAAACCTCTTGCAAATGTTTTATTGTCAAAGACAGTTTTATGTTACAATTGAAGACCGTTCACTTAACATGTGCACCAACTAAAAAAAATACAGAATTTTCCAAATTGAATCCAGAGCAGTGTGATAGTGCAAACAGGGTGTCTAAAAATGAACACTATAGCTGTTATGTATTATAACCATAAAAGATTTTGATAATTGCCTCTGTACCTTTGCCCAAAACCTCAACCCAAAACGTGTCCTGCCCGCCCCCCCACCTCAAAATCCCACTCTTCCCAACAAACTGAACATGTGCCTCCAAGCGAGTGGATCCTTGTAGAACAGCTGCCATTCCTTTAGTGGTGTCCTTGTTCCTAAGATGCTATCCAAGTCCAGGGAGTCTTTGGAGTGTCTTTGGTTGAAATAATTGAGGAACCTCTGAAATATTCTTCTGAACAGTTGTGCTGGCATCTGACCATCCTTTGAGAGAATATTTATTATTTTTTTTACTGTGAAAAGTCATTTAGAGATGATGAATTGGGAGGGTAGTCAAATTTGCTAATATTTCGATGAAAAATTAAGCATGTGACTAAAATTCAATGGGTGCCTTTTTAAAAATCATGATTTTTATTTAAAGTGCATCTGAGGACTCCCAAGGAGACATTCAGTAATATTACTGGGATAACTCTAGCCTCCCTCATTTATATGAA